CGACCAGGCCTCCACCCCCAGGAAGCAGCCCGTGACAGCTAAGAACATAAGAACAAAGGTAACTGCAGAAGGCCTATTGGCCCATACGAGGCAGCTCCTATTCTATAACCACCCAATCCCACTCATATACTTGTCCAACCCGTGCTTGAAACAATCGAGGGACCCCACCTCCACAATGTTACGCGGCAATTGGTTCCACAAATCAACAACCCTGTTACTGAACCAGTATTTACCCAAGTCTTTCCTAAATCTAAACTTATCCAATTTATATCCATTGTTTCGTGTTCTGTCCTGTGTTGATACTTTTAATACCCTATTAATATCCCCCCGGTTATGTCCATTCATCCACTTGTAAACCTCTATCATGTCACCCCTAACTCTTCGCCTTTCCAGTGAATGCAACTTAAGCTTTGTTAATCTTTCTTCATATGAAAGATTTCTAATTTGGGGAATTAACTTAGTCATCCTACGCTGGACACGTTCAAGTGAATTTATATCCATTCTATAATATGGCGACCAAAACTGAACTGCATAATCTAAATGGGGCCTAACTAGAGCAAGATATAGCTTGAGAACCACACCAGGTGTCTTGTTACTAACGCTGCGATTAATAAATCCAAGTGTCCGATTTGCCTTATTACGAACATTTATGCATTGATCCTTTTGTTTTAAATTCTTACTAATCATAACTCCCAGATCCCTTTCGCAATCCGACTTCGCAATCACAACACCATCTAGCTCGTATCTTGTAACTCTATCATCATTACCTAACCTCAGAACTTTACATTTATCAGCATTAAACTGCATCTGCCAATCCTTTGACCATTTCAAAACCCTATCTAGATCAACTTGAAGTGATAGTGAGTCCTCCTCCGAATTAATTTCCCTACCGATTTTCGTATCATCGGCAAATTTGCAAATGTTGCTACTCAAACCTGAATCTAAATCATTTATATATATATAAACAACAGAGGTCCCAGGACAGAGCCTTGAGGCACTCCACTTACAACATTTTCCCACTCTGACTTGATTCCATTTATACTAACTCTCTGTTTCCTTTGGTATAGCCATGCCCTAATCCAGCTTAATATAGCACCCCCAATACCATGAGACTCTATTTTTTTAATCAGTCTTTCATGTGGCACTGTATCAAAAGCTTTGCTAAAGTCAAGGTATACAACATCGCAATCCTTACCACTATCAACTGCCTCAACAATGCTAGAATAAAAAGATAACAAATTTGTTAAACATGAACGGCCATTTATAAAACCATGTTGCGACTCAATTATTAATTTATGTTTTTCAAGATGAAGACGAATTTTATTTGCTATTATAGATTCGAGTAACTTTCCCACAATAGACGTTAGGCTAATTGGTCGATAGTTAGACGCAAGTGATCTATCTCCTTTCTTAAAAACTGGTATCACATTAGCAACTTTCCAAAACTCTGGCACTCTGCCTGACTCTATTGATTTATTAAATATGGTTGACAGTGGGTCACAAAGCTCCTCTTTGCATTCTTTAAGCACCCTAGCAAACACTTCATCCGGCCCTGGGGATTTGTTTGGTTTGAGTTTTACTATTTGTTTAAGAACATCCTCCCTGGTAACTGCTAAACTCGTCAACCTGTCCTCGTCCCCACCCACATAGACTTGTTCGGCTGAAGGCATATTGTTAAGTTCCTCTTTAGTAAATACAGATACAAAATATTTATTAAAAATACTACTCATCTCTTCATCACTATCTGTTATTTGACCTGTCTCAGTTTTTAATGGACCTATCCTTTCCCTAGTCTTAGTACGATATAACTGAAAAAACCCTTTAGGATTTGTCTTTGCTTGCCCTGCTATGCGAACTTCATAGTTTCTTTTTGCTTTCCTTATCTCTTTTTTAACATTTCTAACCAGTTGTACGAATTCCTGTTCTAAAGTGACCTCCCCATTTTTAATCCTTTTGTACCAAGCTCTCTTTTTACCTATAAGGTTCTTCAAATTCTTTGTTATCCACTTTGGGTCATTAGTATACGATCTATTCAATTTGTATGGTATACTACGTTCCTGTGCTTTGTTTAGAATATTCTTAAATAAGTTATATATTGAATCCACATCGAAATCCCCATTTAAGTCACCTATCGCTGGGTTCATGTCTCGCTCCAAGACCGGCCCACACCCCATACCCAAGCCTTTCCAATCAATATGACCCAAAAAATTTCTTAGGCTATTAAAATCAGCTTTTCGAAAATCTGGCACTTTAACAGAATTTTCTCCTACTGGTCTATTCCATTCTATGCTAAATCTGATTTCTTTGTGATCACTGCTCCCTAGCTCACTCCCTATTTCGATGTCATTAATTTGCGTTTCCCTGTTAGTTAACACTAAATCTAAAATATTATTTTCCCGTGTTGGTTCCTTAATGTGTTGCGTAAGAAAGCAATCGTCAATTAATTCTAGAAAATCTTCTGCTTCACTATTCCCTGTTTTGTTCAACCAGTTTATTCCGCTAAAATTAAAGTCACCCATGACATAAATACTGTTAGATCTAGATGCTCTAGATATTTCATCCCATAGATGCTTTGCGTCCATTCTGTCTAAATTTGGTGGCCTATATATTACTCCTATTATAATATTATTAGCTTTTTCGTTTAATTCAATCCAAATAGTTTCTGTGTGTGGCTCTGTTTTGATTCCCTCTTTGGGACTACATTTCAAATTGTCCCTAACATATATGGCTACTCCACCTCCTCGTCTAATATATCTATCTGTGTGAAATAGTTTAAATCCATATATTTGATATTCAGCTAATAGTTCTCTATTTTCTACATTCATCCACGTTTCGGTAAGTGCAATAATATCTATTTTTTCTGTGCAGACAAGAGCATTTAATTCGTTAATTTTATTTCTTAGACTTCTACTGTTAGTGTAATATACCCTAAGTGAATTGTTATTTTGCGGACCTTCTCTTTCCCTGATCGTTTTGCCAATTCCTTTCTCCCACAAACACATACTTTTATTACCTCCTTCCTCCAAATCAATTCCCATACCTCTATCTACTAACAGTTTAAACCCAAACAAACACCTCTAACCACTTCTTCTAGCGAGTTCGCAACAGCAACAACCCCAGCTCTCGATAGATGCACCCCATCACGAGCATACATTTCATTTCTTCCATAGAAGTGTTCCCAGTTGTCTATGAAAGATATTGCATTTGATTTGCAATATCTTTCCAGCCGGCAATTGACACCAAGTGCCCTCGATATCCATTCATTTCCCACTCCCTTTCTTGGAAGAATGCCACATATGATCGGGATTCCTCCCTTGCTCCTAACTAACTCTATGGCTGTTTTATACCTCTGAATCAGTTCCTCACTCCTGACTCGACCAACATCATTTCCTCCCACGCTAATGCAAATAATGGGATTGTTCCCATTACCAGCCATAATATCATTCATGTTGTTTATAATATCACCAATGCCAGCTCCGGGATAGCAAACCCTTAACCTGTTCCCCCTATCTCTAGCACAAAACGTTCTATCCAAATACCTTATCTGGGAATCTCCCACAACTAATGTTTGCTTAGGTACTTCCTTTACTTTCTGAGGGGCCTGCGCTTCCTTTCTCTTCGTTGCTTTCCCTTTTGCGCGATCCACAGTCTCTCCACAGCACTCGTCCTCCAAAACGTCAAATGAATTTGAAGTTGCTATGGCGTTTGAAGGCGGCTTTATCAAAGTCTTCTTAAGGCCCCTGTCTTTCGCAACTCTCCAAGACGAGGTCCCTTTACTGCTGGTCTCCTCCTTCGTTACTTCTCGTTGTTTTTTAAGCTGACGCACCTCCTCCCGCAGAGAGTCCAACTCTGTCCTCAGGGCTCCCACTAGAGTCACCAGGTCCTTCACTACAACTTCCATATTGCTATGATAATATAACAACACTCAGGAGCTCCGGTTAACACAACCTCTCACTGTGACTTCACCTGACCGACTGAAATAATATTGCTCCATTGTTTCTCGCCGGCGCCCGGGATCGAACCCGGACCACAGGATCACAAGTCCAGCGTGCTGTCCGCTCGGCCGACCGGCTCCGTACCCCTCAAGCCTTGTACCACAGAGACATCATTAAGAACCTCTTAAAGTAACGTATGGTACAAGAAAGACTCGGGTCTAAAAGTGTTTTGGGTCTAAACCGATGGAACGTGAATCGAAAATAGTCTGTTGTGGGTGGTGGAGGGTTACGCCTCTAAAGTGACGAGCCTCTCGAGTAAAGTGTGTCGAAAAATCAATGTTCCTCTGAGTGCTAAAGTGTGCTAAGTGCCTCTAGGTACTTGGTATGGTCGTCAGACTTTTCTCTCTCCCGTCGCGTGCTCTGCAGTAATTGTGTCATCGCTCGCGTCCTCTTTTATTTTTTTAACCTCTACTGCACGAATAGAGTTTACCGGTTGCTTGCTGCAATCCCCCCATTGTTTTAACGTGGATTTCTTGCTTAGTTCTGTGATTGCTTGCGGCAATTCACCGGGCACTTCCGGATGTTGAAATGGCCGCTTGTGATAATCACTTGAGTGCTTGTTGTAACACCATCAACGTCTCGTTAAGATGCGGCGACTGCTTGCGACAACAGGTCGCTGGATCGCATACACCCGTCGACGCCGGTCCTTCCGTACATTTTGTTGCTTTTCTAAACTAACTAACTTGTTTATTTTTCTGTTCAGTGATTATTTGCTCCAACACTGTCGCCCGCTGCAAAGGGTTCACCCACACCTGTTCCAACACTGTCGCCCGCTGCAAAGGGTTCACCCACACCTGTTCCAACACTGTCGCCCGCTGCAAAGGGTTCACCCACACCTGTTCCAACACTGTCGCCCGCTGCAAAGGGTTCACCCACACCTGTTCCAACACTGTCGCCCGCTGCAAAGGGTTCACCCACACCTGCTCTAACACTGTCGCCCGCTGCAAAGGGTTCACCCACACCTGCTCCAACACTGTCGCCCGCTGTAAAGGGTTCACCCACACCTGCTCCAACACTGTCGCCCGCTGCAAAGGGTTCACCCACACCTGCTCCAACACTGTCGCCCGCTGCAAAGCGTTCACCCACACCTGCTCCAACACTGTCGCCCGCTGCAAAGGGTTCACCCACACCTGCTCCAACACTGTCGCCCGCTGCAAAGCGTTCACCCACACCTGCTCTGCTGACTAACTCATCCCTATGACTGATTCATCACTGTGACTCGTTACTCTAACTGCTCATTTGATTCAATACATAATACTGCTTGAACACATGTGTTGCATGAGAAATATTGCTTACTATTTCATAGTTCACGTGTCCGTATGTGTCTCAACAACCAATTTAACCCTTAAGTTACTTGTTACAACCCTCCCTCCCTCCCCCCACTCCCCACATGTCTAAGTGGGTTGTAACAATTTGTATCAGTGGCCGTCAACCGGACAGGAGTGTGCTGTGGTGCTCTATAGTGAACAACACGCTCAAGTTGATGATATCTTCTTGTATAGCTCAGGGCAAACACAAATGCATTTATAATCTTGATCACCATATGCCAAAACAGAGTACAAAGACCTCGAACTTACTTCCTATATATATATATATATATATGTCGTACCTAATAGCCAGAACGCACTTCTCAGCCTACTATTCAAGGCCCGATTTGCCTAATAAGCCAAGTTTTCATGAATTAATGTTTTTTCGTCTACCTAACCTACCTAACCTAACCTAACCTAGCTTTTTTTGGCTACCTAACCTAACCTTACCTATAAATATAGGTTAGGTTAGGTTAGGTAGGGTTGGTTAGGTTCGGTCATATATCTACGTTAATTTAACTCCAATAAAAAAAAATTGACCTCATACATAGAGAAAAGGGTTGCTTTATCATTTCATAAGAAAAAAATTATAGTAAATATATTAATTCAGGAAAACTTGGCTTATTAGGCAAATCGGGCCTTGAATAGTAGGCTGAGAAGTGAGTTCTGGCTACTAGGTACGACATATATATATATATATATATATATATATATATATATATATATATATATATATATATATATATATATATATATATATTAGTGCGGTCCATAAGTATGCGGAGAGTGACAATGTCCGCCGTTGGAATTGAAAGTTAATAATAAGTATGAGATTAAAGTCTAAACTCTCAGCTTTTTTACAAAGTCCCTCCATCGTACAGGTCCAAATGTAATTAAACACCTGGCTGCTCAGCTGTTTTTTGGTGTTTTTTTTTTTTTTGACCAGATGTGTGTGGTTACATCAACAGTTCGTGCAAAGGTGAGGTGATAAAAGAGCCGAGTTGATTCTGCGTGTGGCATTTGCAATTGCAATCTTGGGTGCTTGAAGAAGAAGAGAGAGAACACGCAGGTTAACAGTTGGCTACAACCAACTTCCAAACCTGTATAGAGTTCCCGAACAAAGTTTTAACGACAGTTGAGATGAAAAGGAACTTGCACTAGTTGATGGAAGAGAGAGAGGAGAGTGTGGAGGCGGGTAAGGAAGTGCTCAAGCATCCCGTAGCGGACCGCCTCCTGTGAGACACAGTTGTGGAGGAAGTCCAGTGGCTGAACCCCGTATGGTCCCCCTAATCGAACTGCACCCCTGTGCCTTGGTTGCAACCCGTTCTCGCAAATTTAATAAGTCAATATTGACTTATTAACTACGTGCATAGGTGACATACTTAACATAATAGATACCCTTAAAAAGATTCATAGAAAACACCGACCTTACCTAACCTTGTTAGTATCTTAAGATAAGCATCTTATAGCTTCGTAATTACAATTATTACCTAACCTATAATAGGTATAGGTTAAGTAATAATTGTAATTACGAAGCAATAAGATGCTTATCTTAAGATATTAACAAGGTTAGGTAAGTCGGTGTTTTCTGTGAATCTTTTTAAGGGTATCTATTATGTTTAGTATATCACCTATGCACGTAGTTAATAAGTCAATATTGACTATACGAATTTGCGAGAACGGGTTGCTTTATTGATGACGGGACTGCATGTAGTAGCAGCAGCAGGAGGATGCATACCTCTGACGTGTACAGAATCACCGTCTTCACTCTCATCCGACCAGATGCCCCTGAAGCTCCGTAACCTCACCCGTTTTGTTAAAGCAATGAGAGAGAGAGAGATTTTCTGAGCCGAAGTTGGATGTTCTTGACTGGTGAAGTTAGTCACCGGACCTGAATGCAACTCAGCAGGTGTTTCACTTGCTGAGGACAAAACTAAAGGCAAAATATCTCCGAAGAATGCAAGAACTGCAGATGGGTGCAGTTGTAGTACTGCAGAGCATCACCACACAACCAAGCGTCTGGTGGTGGTGTCTGACTCGAGCACAATATAATTCGGATATAATTCCGACACGGTAAACCAAATATAGATGAGAATACCCTTAAAATAAAGCTGAAAGTTTACATCCTACTTTATAAACATTGCTTCCAATCCATTGTGTAAAGAGTCACAGCAACGTTGTGTTACTGTCCACACACACACTTATGGCCAACACTATATGAGCCTTCAGCCTCACTTGACGGACACGTCTCAATATACAAACCGCATAATCTCCTCATATTAACTTAGCTCCCAGATCGAGATCAGGAAGCATAACTCACAGAGACTCAAAGAGACTCCCCGAGAGTCACAGAGACTCAGAGACTCCCCCGAGAGTCACAGAGACTCCCCGAGAGTCACAGGGACTCAGAGAGACTCCCCCGAGAGTCACAGAGACTCCCCGAGAGTCACAGGGACTCAGAGAGACTCCCCGAGAGTCACAGAGACTCAGAGAGACTCCCCCGAGAGTCACAGAGACTCCCCGAGAGTCACAGGGACTCAGAGAGACTCCCCCGAGAGTCACAGAGACTCCCCGAGAGTCACAGAGACTCAGAGAGACTCCCCCGAGAGTCACAGAGACTCAGACTCCCCGAGAGTCACAGAGACTCCCCGAGAGTCACAGGGACTCAGAGAGACTCCCCCGAGAGTCACAGAGACTCCCCGAGAGTCACAGAGACTCCCCGAGAGTCACAGGGACTCACCACGCCGTACTCTTGAGGGGGTACAAGAATATTCATGACTCAGAGAACAACACACCTACATACAGGACGAGCCTTTGCGTCATTGTTTTGCTTCTGCCTTTAGTATCCTTGCGTCCACTCCCGCCCTCGGGAAGTCCTTGGATGTTGAACTGACAAAAAAATCCAACTTTTATTAGATTTCTTTATTTTTATATATCTTAGATTATTTAATAATAATGCTAATTATATCCTTATTGAAGATTCCATTGCTGTTTTTGCTTGATATCTTATCTGAGAGTTTGTGTACCAACTTAATTATCAAACGCGAGCTTTAAGCATGACATATGCTTTCAATTCCGGCGCATCTAATTCAATTATAATGCCTGTACGTGAGTTTTGACGTATTTGTCTAAGTTTTGACGTATCTGTCTGAGTTTTGACGTATCTGTCTGAGTTTTGACGTATCTGCCTAAGTTTTGACGTATCTGTCTGAGTTTTGACGTATCTGTCTGAGTTTTGACGTATCTGCCTGAGTTTTGACGTATCTGTCTGAGTTTTGACGTATCTGTCTGAGTTTTGACGTATCTGCCTGCCTGCCTGAGTTTTGACGTATCTGCCTGACGTATCTGCCTGAGTTTTGACGTATCTGCCTGAGTTTTGACGTATCTGCCTGAGTTTTGACGTATCTGCCTGAGTTTTGACGTATCTGTCTGAGTTTTGACGTATCTGCTAAGTTTTGACGTATCTGCCTGAGTTTTGACGTATCTGCCTGAGTTTTGACGTATCTGCCTGACGTATCTGCCTGAGTTTTGACTATCTGCCTGAGTTTTGACGTATCTGCCTGAGTTTTGACGTATCTGCCTGAGTTTTGACGTATCTGTCTAAGTTTTGACGTATCTGCCTGAGTTTTGACGTATCTGCCTGAGTTTTGACGTATCTGCCTGAGTTTTGACGTATCTGCCTGAGTTTTGACGTATCTGCCTGAGTTTTGACGTATCTGCCTGAGTTTTGACGTATCTGCCTGAGTTTTGACGTATCTGCCTGAGTTTTGACGTATCTGTCTGAGTTTTGACGTATCTGCCTGAGTTTTGACGTATCTGCCTAAGTTTTAACGTATCTGCCTGAGTTTTGACGTATCTGCCTGAGTTTTGACGTATCTGCCTGAGTTTTGACGTATCTGCCTAAGTTTTGACGTATCTGCCTGAGTTTTGACGTATCTGCCTGAGTTTTGACGTATCTGCCTGAGTTTTGACGTATCTGCCTGAGTTTTGACGTATCTGTCTGAGTTTTGACGTATCTGCCTGAGTTTTGACGTATCTGCCTGAGTTTTGACGTATCTGCCTAAGTTTTGACGTATTTGTCTAAGTTTTGACGTATCTGCCTGAGTTTTGACGTATCTGCCTGAGTTTTGACGTATCTGCCTGAGTTTTGACGTATCTGCCTGAGTTTTGACGTATCTGTCTGAGTTTTGACGTATCTGCCTGAGTTTTGACGTATCTGTCTAAGTTTTGACGTATCTGCCTAAGTTTTGACGTATCTGCCTGAGTTTTGACGTATCTACCTAAGTCTAAGTTTTGACGTATCTGCCTGTATCTGCCTGAGTTTTGACGTATCTGCCTGAGTTTTGACGTATCTGCCTGAGTTTTGACGTATCTGCCTGAGTTTTGACGTATCTACCTAAGTTTTGACGTATCTGTCTAAGTTTTGACGTATCTGCCTAAGTTTTGACGTATCTGCCTGACGTATCTGCCTGAGTTTTGACGTATCTGCCTGAGTTTTGACGTATCTGCCTGAGTTTTGACGTATCTGTCTGAGTTTTGACGTATCTGCCTGAGTTTTGACGTATCTGTCTGAGTTTTATCTGCCTGACGATCTGTCTGATCTGCCTAAGTTTTGACGTATCTGCCTAAGTTTTGACGTATCTGCCTGAGTTTTGACGTATCTGCCTGAGTTTTGACGTATCTGCCTAAGTTTTGACGTATCTGCCTAAGTTTTGACGTATCTGCCTGAGTTTTGACGTATCTGCCTGAGTTTTGACGTATCTGCCTAAGTTTTGACGTATCTACCTGAGTTTTTATGCAAATTCCTCATTTCTAAGGAACTAATATCAAATATACATCATATTCCTTCATCATCACACACGAACCCAATTTTTAACGAATATGAACAAATCCACAAGGGCCGTGACGAGGACT